CCAGAGTTACCAAACTTGTCACATTAACCATACACCCCGCCAATATGGTGCCCCTGTTGCCCAATTCTAGCCCCAGTCTACCCCCGCTGTTCCTGGCGGAACGTGCTACTCACCAATATCCCCCCAAAAGAGGCATCCTGCACCCACACCGTCTTTAAGAAGCGATTGTGCATGGGGATGAACACCGGCATTCTGAAGATTTCCTGCTCAGTGACAGACTGAAAAGGCCAAGATGTTGAAGAAGGGTAAGGAGGCTTAGTTGTCAGCTGGAGGCCTTTGTGGGCAGGTTGATGTAGAGGAGGCTGCCCTCCTCCCTCAGGACCAGCAGAGGAAGCCACACCAGCTGACCCTCCTGGCCTGATCTGACGTCACCATCCAGGTCAGTGTAATCTCAATATCCTGGAGAAGCAGTTATCAGTGCTGAAAGGGTAAGTGCCACACTCTTCTGCCATCACTCTAAGTATTGCATGAAACATCTCCCCCAGACCCACTCCCCCTCTCACTGCATCCCTCCCCAAGTCCCACTCAATGAACATTGCATGCCCTCTTCGCAGCCTGCTGACCCGCTCAAGGAAACCTCACCAAACTTTATCCCACTCGCACTAGTGCTAACACCTGTGTCAGCTACTTTTACCTCAGTCAACACGTCCGTTTTTCTCATTACTGGAGAATGCAGCACATTACAGGGCAGAAGGGATGCCTACAAGGTGAGAACCTGGCTTTCGCAGGAGAGGATAGGGACCACTCCTGTAGGGATGCCAACACATCCATGTCCTAATAATTAAGTAAGTAGCTTTCTTCATTCCACTGCAGTTATCCCATTAACCCAGCTGTTGTCATTCTTTGTAACTTCCTTGGCCATGATGCCCGCCGCCCCCACCCCCAACTACGTCTTTCCTGTCTTGCAAATCCCATTAGCATAGCCACAGCTTTGAGATGCCCTACCCTGCCAGAAGGACCTTTATTTACGTAGGAAAACTGAACCAAAGCTTCAAAGGAAGCTTCTGCAAAGCTGCTCCCAGCACCTTTTTCACCTGCTGAAATATTGACACCTCTGAAAAACCCAGCTTTAGATTGTTTGGTAGAACCCCCTGCTGAGCATTTCACTGTGATGGCACTGTAGCTGGCAAGAGGGAGAAAACCCAGAGGTTGCTGACGAGCTGAACCCTGGAGATCAGGCTCCTCCTAAACCCTAGGCAAGAGAAGACCCTGTGGAGTTGGCAGACAAGGACTTGATGCAATTGCATAAGGAGGCAGAGAAGCAACAAGCCAGATTTGACTTGTGCAATCAACTCCATGTTCCAGAAGCTGCCTGACTGCAGCTGCGCTATGGGGATCAAGTGTGTTTGTCTAACTGCCTCAATGGACAGGATGGCAGTCGCCCTTGAGAGCCAGGTCCAGCTCACCCAGGTGGGTTGGATAGGAAACCAGATCTGCACTTTGTCATCATGCCATTGGTCCTCATGCCGTTGGTCCTCAGTGCTGAAGTAAGTCGATTCAGGCAGTGGACCTTGAACTCATTCCAGGCCTCACGTGGAGACAGGACAGTGCCAGGCAGCACCAAGCAGAAGTTTCTGCTCAAGACACTCAAAAGATGGTAGGGCCTTCTACATCCATCCTGTTTGCCACTCTCCAACCTGTAAACAGTTGAGCTGAGAAGCTTGTACAATGTATTCTCTTAGCATAGCCGTGTCCTCCAGAGTTACCTGTCAAAATGTCCAAGGCCAACGCAGCAGTTACAGAACTGAAAAATGCACTAGTCACAGTAGGAGGGAATGGAAAACTAAAACACACCAAGGGCACATTGGTGGTATATGCATAAGCTAAATGTACAATTTTTGATAAGAATCAGTACCTCTGCATTAAATCTTTTTATTCAAGTCTTTGTATAGTCCCTAATGTGACTGCATCACCATGATGTATCATGGAGCACTATATTGAGAGGCTGCTGTAGCAGGTGGAGGCGGGAAGAACAAAGCACACAACATAATGTGTTCTACTAGCAGGATTGCTATCCTTGATCAGCCATCTGTACTGTGCAAAAGTGTAGGTGTTGCATGAAATGGTTAGTAATATTTACAGCACTAACAGTGTTGAGCACACAGTTAGCGAATTCACATGGGGTCCATGCCCAAGTGCAGCAAGACATGGACAGTATCAAGGCTTGGACTGATAAGTGGCAAGTAACATTGGTGCCATGCAAATACCAGACAATTGCAATGTTTAACAAGAGAGAATTGTCTGTTCCCCACCACCACCAAATATTCCCCCAGATTTAACATTAACCAGAAACTGAATTGGACTAGCAGGTTAGAACAAGTGACTCAACTCCTGACTCCCTAAAGCCTATACACCATCTACAAGCACAAGTCAGGAGCGTGATGGTATGCTTTGCACTTGCGTTACGAGTGTAGTTTCAACAATACTTGTGAAGCTTGAAACTATTCAGGACAAAGCAAGACACTTGATTGTTTATAAATGCGGTGCCATTCAGTCTGTCCACCACTAATGCTAAGTAGCAGCTGTGTGTACTGCCTGCATGATGCTCTGCAGAAATTCATCAACGCTTCTCAGACAGCACCTTCCAAACCCACGACCACTATAATCTGGAAGGACAAGGGCAATAGATATTTGGGAACATGGCCACCTGCAAGTTCCTCTCTGAGCCACTTTCCATTCTGACTTGGAAATATATCGCCACTCCTTCAGTGTGGCTGGGTCAAACTTTGGAACTGTCTCCCTAAAAGACATTGTGTATTACAGCAATTCCAGAAGGCAACTCACCATCACTTTCTAAAAGGCAACTAGGAATAGGTAATACATACCAGCCAAGCCAGTATTGCCCAAATCCAATGAATGATTTGGTGCATAATGGAAGGTATCTTCATTGTGGGGATAGGATGTTGTGTTCAGAAGGACTATACAGTTGTCACTTTCTAAAGAGTCTGAAGTCACACAGATGAATCTACCAAAGCTAAATTTAAGAGAATGAGTTCGTGAGTTTTTCTTTCTTGTTTCTCTCACCTGCTACCGCAGACCCAACCTAGGAACTGTGACCTTTAGAACCTGTCCAGCTGGGTCACTAGTGGTGCTACTGAACCTTTCTTGTGATGGACATAGAAGTCTCCCACCCAGAGTACCTTTTGTGTCTTATCTGCCCTCAGTGCTTCTTCCAACTTGTGTTCAATATGCATGAGTACTGAGTAATCACCCGAGTGTGGTATGTGGTAGACAGCAAGAGCTTTCCTTGCTCATGTTTGACTTGATGCATTGAGACTTCATGGGCTCTGGATTCAATGTTGAGGACTTCCAGGGCAGTATCTAGCAACATACTTTTGTACCATTATCTCTCGTGTGTCTTGCTAATTGAACAGGTCATACCCAAGAATAGTTTTGATTGTGACTGGAACTGTAGGTAAGGTATGATGGCAGATAGAAGAATTTCTTCCTTAAAGGGCGAAAGTCAAGTTTTTAAAACAATTAATGATTCATGGTCATCATTAACCTAGCTTTGGGTTTATGAATAAAGAGGAATTTCACTATCTCCCATGGTGGAATTCAAACCCATGTCCCCTCAGTATTAGCCTAGACCTTGATTATTATTCTAGTGATATTACCGCTATGCTGCATTTTCTCCAGGTGAGTACACCTAAAGTACTATGTGGCACAATTTTGGTATCCTTATTTAGGAAGAACTTGTATTGTGATTGAGGGAAGTGAGGCAAAAGATTGTTGAGACTGGTCTCTCAAATGAGTGGTTTGCCTTTTGAGGGGAGATTAAGTAGACTAAATATTTATTTCCTGGAATTTAGAAGAATGAGATGACTGGAATGCATAGAATTCTCAAGATTTGACAGATTTGGTCAGTATGGAACATGTGATCTTTGAATAAGGGATTGACCATTTCAGGTGGAAATAATGAGGTATTTATTCACTGTAAATGTTGTGAATCTCTAGAATTCCCTACCCTAGAAAGTTGTAAATGTTCAGATGTAGAATACATTCAAGACAAAGCTTGATAGATTTTCAAGTGTTAAGCAGGTTAAGAGGTATTAGTCTAGTGAGGGCCAGAGTTGAGAGAATACATCAGCCGTGATCTTAAAATTAGAGCAGATTTGAAGGGCCAGATGGTCTATTCCAGCTGATAGTAAACCACAACTAATGAATGCTTTTTCTGTTGGTACTGAAGTTGTGAGGTCTTTGCAGCTTTCAGGATAGCATGAGGTTTAATGTGCAGTTAGGCATTGTCACTTGCAGCCTGTGCAACTTGCTTCCACATGGTTTTATCAGGCAGCTTTACAGACCTCTTTCCAACCCCTCCCACTATTTCAAAATCGAGAACATTTTTAAAATCTCTAGTATTTGCAATAATCCTGCCTTCTGTTCCTTCCACTTTGATAAGTGAAATTAAAAAAGGAGCAAAATTTTTTTTTTGAATAGAGAAACTGGGAAATGCTTGAATTCAGCGGGATGCCACTGCAGCATCAATAATCTCAGGCAGAATTAAATCTACATCATTCTCAATGAAGTTCCTGCTTCAGTTTTAAACCTATCATTCAAAACTTGTATGCTGATGCTAAGTTAAGACCAGTCTAGCTTTAAATGCAGCACTTCCACTTCCTCCAGTATTATTCTCCAGTCATCTACCCCAAATTTCCTAGCCCTTCTGGAAATTTAGAAGAGAACAGATCACTTGCATTCGTTATTGATAGGGCTCTAAATTTCAAGGCCTTCATTTCTCCCCACAGTTTCAGCCTTGAAAATGCTGTCTCTTGCTGAAGTGCATATTCTTTGGTGCTGGTTGTCCTCTAGGGTGCTGGTCTGATGTTCAATCTTTTTGAACCTGGGTGGCTATGTATCCTATTGAGCATCTCAGATGAGCTCAGTTCCAATTGACACAGGTAGCACACCACTTATTGTAACGCTGCTGACCTATGAAGTGCAAGCCAGTCCTGTATATTTGTGAAATGTTTTAATAGGTTTTTTCTTTCTTTCCTCAGCCACTCGTATCGATGAGGAGACTGTTCAAACATGTTACGTTTACATGGATGGGTTACCTGGAACAGTAACAGAGGTGCTGCATGTTTTAATGATTTTAATTGCTGTTTAATATCTTTCATCTTTAAAGATATACAGCTAGAAATTATGATTTTATTAATGGAATTTAATACATCCATGCCACGTTCTTCTGTGCAGTTTCAATTAGATATTAATCCATGTAAACTAAAATAAGTGTACATTAAAAGATTGTGGAGGAATCTGCATACATTGAACATTCACAAGAGAACATTGCAGATGGTCACTTCTGTCTTATGGTTGATCATAATATTCATATAACAGGATTTTTTTTTCTTCTAACCTTCCTAGAGTGAATTAAGAAACCTTTTTCAGAAATACCAGGTGACTGGAATTTGGCTTTGCAGTTTGCATAGTGATTACAGGTAATCTGAACCTATCTGAAAGCTTTGCTTCAGTGCTCATCACTGCATTTTTGTTGAATCTTAAGCCAAGATAGTGATGTTCTGCAGTACGATAATGTTTTAACCAGTTCTCTGCTTCAGGTCATGGATCACCACGGCTGAGGTACATTTAAAGTTGGGATTCCCCAAGTTCAGGTTACTTTAAAGGAATTTTCTTTCGACCTTTGAGACTAAAGGATATAATTTGTATGTTACAGGGGTCAGTCTTTAAGACTGGAATGCAAGAAATCCAAATACTGTTTTTAAAACCTTTCTTCTATTGTTTCCAATTGACGTTACAAGTAGAAATGAGAACATTCGATTTCTTTTATTTCCTCAACACTTGCTTTATCCAAACCACAGATTCCGCTTAAAGTTGCCTGTTAGAACATAGAACAATAATCAGTACAGCACAATACAGGCCCTTCAGCCCACGATGTTGTGCCGAACTTTTACCTTAAACCTAAGGTCTATCTAACCTCCACTGCTACTTATACTATCATCCATATGCCTATCTAATAGCCACTTAAATGCCCCTAATGAGGCCGACTCCACTACCCTCTCCATCAATGCAGTCCACGCCCTTACCACTCTTTTTGAGTAAAGAACCTACCTCTGACGTCTCCCCGATATCTACCTCCTTTCACTTTAAAACTATGTCCCCTCATAAAAGCTACCCCCACCCTAGGAAAAAATCTCTGGCTGTCTATCTATACCTCTGATCATTTTGTACACCTCTATCAAGTCACCTCTCATCCTTCGTCGTTCTAAAGAGAAAAGCCCTAGCTCTCTCAACCTTTCCTCGTAAGACCTTCCCTCCATTCCAGGCAACATCTTGGTAAATCTCCTGTGCACTTTTTCTAACGCTTCCACATCTTTCCTCTAATGAGGTGACCAGAACTGGACACAGTACTCCAGATGTGGCCGAACCAGGCTTTTGTATAGCTGGAGCATAACTTCATGGCTCTTGAACTCACTCCCTCTATTTATGAAAGCTAACACACCATATGCCTTCTTAACAACTCTATCCACCTGGGTGGCAGCTCTCTGGGAACTCTGAACATGAACCCCTCTGCTCCTCCACACTGCCAAGAATCTTTCCGTTAACCCTGTATTCTGCTTTCAAGTTTGTCCTTCCAAAATGAATCACCTCACACTTTTCAGGGTTAAACTCCATCTGCCACTTCTCAGCCCAGCTCTGCAGTCTATCAATGTCCCTTTGTAACCTAGAACAGCCCTCCGCACTGTCCACAGCGTGACCCACCTTCGTATTGTTCACGAGCTTGCTAATCCACCCTTACGCTCCTTCATCCAAATCATTTACAAAAATCACAAATAGCAGAGGACCCAGAACAGATCCTTGTGGTACACCACTCGTAACTGAGCACCATGTTGAATATGTTCCGTCCACTACCACCCTTTGTCTTCTAAGGGTCAGCCAATTCTGAATCCAGTCTGCCACATTTCCCCCTATCCCATGCCTCCTTACCTTCTGCATGAGCCTACCATGGGGAACCTTATCAAACGCCTTACTTAAATCCATGTATACCACATCCACTGCTCCACCTTCTTCCATGTGTTTGGTCAAAACACATGGATGTTTGTTTAACTTTGTAATTTTATCTAAATCGTTTTACATTTAATCTTGACTGCAAAAGGGTCAGATATGGGGAGTTATTCTTGTTCGCCAACCATACAAGAGGCTTGTGAATATTACTATGTATTGATCCAGTTGATAGTGAGTGATTCATTTGGGCAGTGGTGTTATTAGTTAGTGTCACAATCATACCCTGGTGAAGAACAGTCTTAACAACTTAGCTCAGAGATGCTGGAGTCAGAGATAACACAGTGTGGAGCTGGAGGAACACGGCAGGCCAGGCAGCATCAAAGGAGCAGGAGAGCTGACGTTTCAGTCAGGACCCTTCTTCAGAAATGGGGGAGGTTGAAGGGAGCTCTGTAATAAATAGAGAGAGGAGGTGTGGAGCTGAGGAAGATAGGTGAGATGGTGATAGGTGAGTGCAGGTAGGCAGTGGTGGCGATTGGTCAGTGAGGTGGGAGTGGCAGATAGGCAGGAGAGAAGACGGACAGGTCAAAGAGGCAGGGATGAGAGGGGGGGCTGGTCTTGGGTTGAGGTCGGGGGTGGGGAGATTTTGAAACTAGTAAAGTCCACATTTGAGACCATTGGGTTTTGGGCTCCCAAGGCGGAATATGAGGTGCTACTCCTCCAGTTTCCAAGTGGCATCATTGTGACACTGAAGGAGGCCCAGGATGACATGTTGCCCAGGGAGTAGGAGGGGGAGTTGAAGTGGTTCGCGACTGGAAGGTGGTATCGTTTGTCATGAACAGAGCGCAGGTGCTCTACAAAGCCGTCTCCAAGCCTCCGCTTGGTCTCACCGATGTAGAGGAGGCCACGTCGGGAGCAGCGGATGCAATAGACCACATTAGCGGATGTGCAGGTGAAAATCTGTCTGATGTGGAAGGTTTTTTTTTGAGTCTTGGGAGGTGTAGGGGCAGTTGTAGCACTTCCTGCGGTTGCAGGGAAAGGTGCCGGGGGTGGTGGGGCTAGTGGGGAGTGTGGAGCGGATGAGGGAGTCGCGGAGAGAGTGGTCCCTACAAAAGGCAGATAGGGATGGGGAGGGAAATATATCCTCGGTTGTGGGGTCAGATTACAGGTGGCGGAAGTGATGGAGAGTGATATGTTGAATCCAGAGGTTAGTGGGGTGATACGTGAGGAAAGGGGGATTCTGTCTTTGCTTTTGTTCTGGGGAAGGGGTGTGAGGGCAGAGGTGCGGGAAACGCAAGAGATGCAGTCGAGAGCATTTTCGACCACTGAAGGGGGCATGTTGCAGTCCTTGAAATACGAGAACATCTGGGATGTTCGGGAGTGGAATGCCTCACCTTGGGGGCAGAGGCAGAGTCTAGGGAACTTTTTTCCACTTTTAATATTGTTCAGTAAGTTACCAGGAAAGAGTGTAGTATCTCAAGTCTATTTCTATTGTGTAACTAACTAGTTGGTATGTGTTACTTGAGAGAATAATAACTGAGGAATATTTTGGAACAGTGGGGCTAATCTATCAAAACATGAGGAGCACATTTGTGCTTAAACTGGCTTTCCCATTTCCAAGTTAAGGAAGAGAAAGGCTATTTAGTTCATCAAAGCTCACCTCTTTCAGACTGAACATCATCCATTTTGACATGCTTGGTACTGTTTTTTTTTAAGAAGAGAGCAAGGGATAAATCCGGATACTACAAGCCAGTGAGTCTATCATTAGTGGTGGGGAAACTATTGGAAGCAATTCTGAATGACAGTATTAATCTGCATTTAGAGAAGCAGGGATTAATCAAGAGAAATCAGCATGGTTTTGTTCAGGGGAAGTCACGTCTGGCCAATTTGGTTGAATTTTTCAAAGAGGTGATCAGGTGTGTAAATGAGGGAATGCTTTTGAATTGGTCTATTTGGACTTCAGCAAGGCTTTTGAAAAGGTACTGCATAGGAGACTGATTGCAAAGATCAGAGCCCATGAGATCGAAGGAAATTTGGCAAATTGGATCCACGGTTGGCTGAGTGGCAGGAATTAGAGGGTGATGGCTGACTGGTGTTTTTCCGACTGGAAGTCAAGAGGGATGCCGCAGGGGTCAATGCTGGGATCCTTGCTGTTTTGTAGTTTATATGAATGATTTTGACTTGAATGTAAGAGAGGTAACCAGTAAGTTCACAGATGATAGAAAAATTGGTTGAGTGCTAAATAGTGAAGCAGATAGCTGTTGATTATAGCAGGATGTAGACAGGCAGATCAGATGGGCTGTTGGGCGGCAAATGGAATTCAATCTGGATAAATGTGAAATGATACACTTGGACAGCACACGCAAGGTAGGGGAGTACATGATAGGGCTTCCCAAAGTCTGAAGGTTTAAGGATCAGAAGGACCTTGGTATGCACGTACACCAGTCCCTTAAGGTTATCAGGACAGGTGGATAAAGTGGTTAAGAAAGCATATAGGATACTTGCCTTTATTAGCTGGGACATAAGAGTTTAAGATCAAAGGTTATGCTGGCACTGTATAAAATGTTGTTTAGGCCACAGCCAGAGCGTATTATGCAGTTCTGGAATCTACATTTATAGGAGGGATGCACTGGAGAGGGTGGGGAGTGGATTTACTAGTATGTTGCCTGGCTACAGAGTTTTAGTTATTGGATAGACAGGTTATTTTCTTTGGAGCACAGGAAGAGGGATATGATTAAGATGTATAAAATTATGAGGAGCATAGATAAGGTAGACAGGAAGAGACTTTTCCTCTTGATGGAGGGATCAATCACCAGGCTGCCCAGATTTAAGGCAGGGGGTAGAAGGTACAAAGATGTGAGGACAGGATTTTTCACGAAGGGGATGTTGAGAATATGGATGTCACTGCCTGTAAGGGTGGTGGAGGCAGAAACCTCATAACATTTAAGAAACATATCAATGTGCATTTGAGATGCCAAGGCATACAAGGCTATGGGTCAAGTGCTGGAAAATGGTATTAGAATAGTTATCTGGTTGTTTTTGACCAGCAAGGATGCAATGAACTGAAGAGCCTTTTTCTGTGCTGTAGATCTCCGTGACTCTATGCAGTTGCATTTTGTCACCCCTCATATTTTGTTACAATAGTTCTTCCTGGCAGATTATTTCAAAAAGTCAGTTGAATAAAGAATTTTACTTATACGCTGGTTTCAAACGTGTTTCAAACGTATTTCCTGTGGGCTGATTTTAATTTACTTTTAAATTGTATTCTGGGTTTACCTTATCTGTGGTAAAGTTTTTCAAAAGATCATCAAGAGGCGGGGTTCACTTGAAAGGAAGTTTAAAAAATCAAAACTAAATGAGAAAGCAGAAGTGCAGCATAGTGAAGAGATGAACAATAAGCAAAGTGTGACATGAAGGGGTTAAAATTTGTGCAGAAGAGTGCAGTGGAAATTTGAACCAGAGTAGATAATAAGTGAAA